GGTTGAGGAGGGTACTTATGCAAATAATGTGTGCTAAATGAAACTATATTTGGTAAAATTTGGATTTGGGTGAAGCATTAGAGCTCGAATCATGAAATATTGTACTAAAAGGTACTCAAATTTTATTAATGGTCGATATTAATATGTGGATTGTTTAGTTTCTTTGACATATGCATTTTACTGTGAAAATAAAGTAATATGTTTATACATGTTTAAATATTTGCCACATTCGCTAACGAAGTAACGAATATACAGTGGTGGCCACGTAATTAAAACATTTTCTACGGCAAACATTTTTTGATCAGCCATCGTTTGAAGTACTTTTAATTTTTTTAATTCAGAACACTTAGATATACTGCACTTAAGAGATTTGGTATGAAAATAGAAAATTATAGCATGCAATTTTTCCTAAATAACGGTTTTTGTGAAAAAACAACGCCTTTGAAGTGGCCACATAATTAAAACGTTGTGTGCTTTTTTACTTTACTGCAGTTTTTTTGAAAATATTTTTTAAAAACTAATTAAATTTGTTAAATTAATTAAACTAATCACCGATTAAATCATTTACTGATAAAAAATTTTACAACAATCTGTAAGATCTATCAAAATTGGTAACAATTTGTACAGTACACTGGTCTATTTTTTAATCAAATATATTCTGTACTACTCAAACAATCGATTTGGTATAATAAATGTCAATATTAATCGAAAATTCCTGCAAACATATTCCGGCCTTCTTTAATAAAGGCTATTGAAATCGAATCGCTCCTTTAGGTTTATTCCAAATTTTTTAAGTTTTTATTTCAAATATTTATTTATTTTAAGAAGTATTTATTGTTTTCTAGCAATTTCTGGTTCATTCGGAACTTTATGTTCTATATTAAGTGTGATTTTCCGAATGTTAGGTGTACTGTACAAATTGTTGCCAATATTGATAGATTTTACAATTTTTTGTAAAATTTTTTATCAGTAAATGATTTTATCGGCGATTAGTTTAATTAATTTAACAAATTTAATTAGTTTTTAAAAATAATTTTCAAAAAAACTGCAGTAAAGTAAAAAATCACACAATGTTTTAATTATGTGGCCACTTCAAAGGCGATGTTTTTTCATAAAAAACCGTTATTTAGGAAAAATTGCATGAAGTGGCCACATAATTAAAACGTTGTGTGCTTTTTTACTTTACTGCAGTTTTTTTGAAAATATTTTTTAAAAACTAATTAAATTTGTTAAATTAATTAAACTAATCACCGATTAAATCATTTACTGATAAAAAATTTTACAACAATCTGTAAGATCTATCAAAATTGGTAACAATTTGTACAGTACACTGGTCTATTTTTTAATCAAATATATTCTGTACTACTCAAACAATCGATTTGGTATAATAAATGTCAATATTAATCGAAAATTCCTGCAAACATATTCCGGCCTTCTTTAATAAAGGCTATTGAAATCGAATCGCTCCTTTAGGTTTATTCCAAATTTTTTAAGTTTTTATTTCAAATATTTATTTATTTTAAGAAGTATTTATTGTTTTCTACTAATTCTAGCAATTTCTGGTTCATTCGGAACTTTATTTTCTATATTAAGTGTGATTTTCCGAATGTTAGGTGTACTGTACAAATTGTTGCCAATATTGATAGATTTTACAAATTTTTGTAAAATTTTTTATCAGTAAATGATTTTATCGGCGATTAGTTTAATTAATTTAACAAATTTAATTAGTTTTTAAAAATAATTTTCAAAAAAAACTGCAGTAAAGTAAAAAATCACACAATGTTTTAATTATGTGGCCACTTCAAAGGCGATGTTTTTTCATAAAAACCGTTATTTAGGAAAAATTGCATGCTATAATTTTCTAGTTTCATACCAAATCTCTTAAGTGCAGTATATCTAAGTGTTCTGAATTAAAAAAAATTTAAAAATACTTCAAACTAATCGATGGCTTATCAAAAAATGTTTGCCGTAGAAAATGTTTTAATTACGTGACCACCACTGTATATATATATATATATATATTTGGGTGGATGCTGTGTCTACTTTAATGTAAAATAATGTGTAAAAACAGGTTGAGGCGAACCAGTTTTTTATGTTCTCTATCGATTTTTGACTAAGCCACTCATTTTACGGTCTTTGTGTCAAAGCAAAACTAAAAGCCTACAAAATGGGGGCAATGTATCATTTTTCAAAATTTAAACTGCATCTACCTTAAAATGGTGCTGAAATATTGAAGCTCGATTTTGAGTGTTTTTTTTTTTTTTGAATTTTAATACGCAAACATGAATTTCTAAAAATGGATTATAATATTATTGTAGTCGCGAATCTGAGTAATTTGATAGAGTAAATGATGGTAATGTGGTATACCCATTTGTTTTTAGATTACCAACTTTTTATTTTTTATCCGATTAAATTGAAATTTTAAAATTGACATTCTATGAAAATAATATTATACTAACAAAGTGATTTTAAAAAATGTGCAGGTAATGTGATATGCCATATGATGCTAATGTGGTATAGTATAATTTTCACTTGCAATTGAAGTGTTATTTAATTTATTGTATTTAATGAATGTGAATTAAATCGAGATGTATATCTGTTAAGATTTTTAACGGATACGTTGAGTGGAACTTTAATTTTTATTATATAATAATGACTACAAAAGTTTCATAGAGTAATGAGATTTTCTCTTGTGCTGGCTATATACATATAAATTTGCAACTTTTTTGTGACTTTTATAATATCTGCATATTCATATTTTACGAAGGAAGTTATATATCTACGTTATTGGTCACTATAATAAACGGCGTAATTTTAAGATTTTTTTATTATGTCTAGAATTAAAACTCGATAACTTTTGCGCACAACAACCAAAAATTTGATCGCGAACGGATTCGGAGCCAGGATATTTTTCTCTATATATGAACCAATAATCATTGATGTACTACGAAAACAAAAAAACCGATTTTTTGAAAATGGTATATTAAAAAATTGTCAATATTGCCCATATATATATATATATATATATATCACCGATCTCTCGTGTGGTTATTCGCCGATTTACATCAACTGATGCCTTTATCGTGTCTTTGTCAGCTTCGACCGGCCTTCCATTTCGATATTAAAATTGCCGGATCGAAATTTTGCAAACCAGTTCTGGCACTGACATACTGTTAACACGCCTTCTCCATACACTTCCATTAATTTTTTCTCACTTGGAAAGAATTTTTACCCTTCCTGAAGTAAAGAAGTAAAATATGACGAAAATGCTGGTTAGTGCTCTCCATAGTTAAAAGGGCTCAAACCAAAAACTACTGCGTAGGATTAATAGAACTTTTTCACACACAAGCCTTGCAATATCAGCTCTCAAGACACATATAATGGTATAGCGCCTTAAGCGTGAAGTTGGTTTCGAAAAAACGTAATTAAGTCCTCTGACGAAAAAAAAGAAATTACTTTCCGGACAACCCACTATAGGTAATGTGCCCTGTTTTTGAGGCAAACATTAATAACAGCGGTGTTAAACGATTTTTTGACTTTTTTAATGATTTACATGTACAAGAAAGAGAATACGCAGATTTCCACAGTATAAACCGGATATAACGAACAACGGTTATAAGCAACTACACATATAACGAACAAAGCTAATTCTTTCTCAGATATTTTCATTAGTTTTCTTAAACACAACAAACGGTTGAAAACTATTAGGGTAGTGTGTTAAAAAAAATTCGACCCCGCGATCAGATTTTTAAAGCAATAATTATTACAATGTTGCATGTTTTTGCAGAATGCATTAATAACAATTAATTCAGTACCCATTTTTACTCTTTAATGTTATTAATATGTAAAAGTGAGATAAAACCATGCGTACTACAGTCGAACACGATTATAGTAAACCCTGGATATACTGAACAACAGTTTTTCATATGTCATTTTTTATTTTTAATCAATGCTGAAAAAAATAAATTTTTGGTTGTTTATATTCTAAGGGAGTCCCATGCCCGCCATTTCCTCTTCTCCACTTTTTATATTTTTTTATAATCTTTCCTTCAACAACCTATTTACGAGTCTTGATATTTATTTTGTAAGCAAAATTCTAGTGTATTCGTTTTTTTTTTCGCGGAAAAGTTCTATCTTCCTATGACATTTGGTCCATCTTGACATTTTTTTTTTAATTTTCGCATTTTTTGTCCATATTGCTGTTATGGCCAACTTTACGTGCGGGAACGTTGTAAACAACAATATGTCTCCTTGCTTTTATTTCATTCATCAAACCAATTATCAAAAATTTTATTGTTTTTTATTCTACAAAAACGGAAATATCTTAAAAAACGCAAAAAATCGCAATTTGAGACCTATTGGAATCGATTTAGAAGGCTTTCATTTATATATTACAGTTGTCAAAAGATCAGACAAAATTAAAAATTTTAGTAAAAGTCTATCTAAAATGACTTATGTGTAAAAAATAAACACATTTATTTTATAATAGCCAGCTATGTAAATTTTGAATCGCTACACAAACGTATTAACAAATATATATTAAATAAACAGCACACACCACCGCCAATACTCTCCATTTTTTATGTTTATAATTTGTATTTAGCGGTTTCAAACGTTTTAAAATACGCCTTTATTTTAAAAAAAAAAAAAATTTCTTTAATTTTATTTTCAAAGTGTAGAGTTTGGCTACGATTCCCACCGCTTTTAAGGCACTTTTACGCAAAAATATTACAAAATCATAAATCATATACATCATATATAAATCATAAACTGTCCATATTACCTATAGGTGCAACCCAATAATTAGACCATTATGAATTCTATATGATAAAAGGAACAATTTTCGATTTGGGAAAAACAAAAGTTGACATTTCTACTTTAATTATAGCGGAAATTAATACTTTTTGCTAAGTATTACATTAGATCTAATGTTTCTTAGCTTGTTTGTATTACTACAATTTTATATATATGTAATAATCATAATATTTTCACATTTGCAGGATTGAATTCTGATTTTAACGTGGACAATGCACTAATAACAGTAGATATAAATATTATTCATGCTTCGGAAGGACAAGATACTATGCAAATTGCTAATATTACATTTAATAATTTAGACGTCATTGGTAAATAAATATTTTTATATAATAAAAATTATACACTAATCAAACTCCATTTCAGCCAACCAAGAAACTATTGTTGAACTGCTTGGATTCGCAAAACGTATTTTGGATAATTACAGGCTTTACAGAAATGTCAGCACTAGGTATGAACGCTCCAATGACACAATGATGCAATACACAAATCCAAGGTCAATTGGTAAATGTATGTCTGAAGTTAGTTTCGACTTCCATCGTTTGAATATACTTGTACTGAGAAGTACCCGTCTGGATAGTCTAAATATTGGGAGAAAAGTTGGAACCTTAACAATGAGTGAAGCTAAAATTCATGCCACGATTGGAAATGAAATTTGCGTGTCCGGTGCCTTGGGCGGAATACAAGTTGTGGATATTACGCCAGAGGGGTACAACCATCAACGAATATTTTCAGTTGGCAAGGATCCTTTGACGGATCCTCCATCTATATATACAAATGATGTCTTGTTTACATTAACAAACGAAATGTATGGCACTGATTTCGACGACGATTGTACATACCTTAATGCCCTTAGCTTCAAGATATCTCAATCAGAAACATCGCAAATCGTAGCGAAGATTCGAATGGCATCGGTGTGGTACACCCATTGCCCTCGATTTATTGAAGAGATTTATTTGTGCGTAAAAGAATTTAAGCAATATTTTAAGTAAGTCCTTATTATTTTTTTACATTATGAAGTATTTAAGAAAATATGCTCCCTTTGATTATAGTATCGTAACATAGTTTAGTATTTAAATATGAAAAAAAAACAAGTATCTTTTTTATTGATTTTTTCTAGAGAAACAATTTTCATTCTATATTTTATGAGCTTTGCACAATAGTTTTGAAAAAACTAAAAGTAAGTGCCATGAGGACAACAATTTTGTTTTTTGTTCAGATTTTATTTCAGACCTGAAAATAAATGTGTTCACCAGGCTGCGCAAACTAATACATACTTTTTTGAAATTATGTATGTTATAATATATACCCAGTAGTTCGAGTAACTGGTTATGACCTAGTTATTTTACTAATTACCTGTAGTTACCACTAGTTACCGGTAATTAGTAAAAAATATTAAAAATATCAAATATTAAAATATCAAAACTTACCTCAGATTTATCATCTGTATTTATTTCTTATATTTCAAATTTTAAGGATGAACAAATATTGTATTCTGTGCAAAATGACATTTGATATTATATTAATTTCATATTAAGATATGGGCATTTCCGGAAAAAAGTAAACCAAAGTCGGAGAATTTGTTTCTTTAATTCTGCTTAAATACGTGAATGGCAAAAAAATATAAAGAAAGCCCACATTTTCATTTCATTTTCATTTATTTCATCCAATCTCTCTCTATATATATATATAAAAATTACATGTATGTTCGTGATCGCTAAACTCAAAAACTACTGCACCGATTTGGACCAAATTGTATGTACATGCTCAATGGGGCGTGAGGAGTGTTTCTATGTAGTTTGAAGTTCATCCGACAGATGGCGCAATATTTAGTTTTTTTTGTGGTTTTTCACCATTATTAAAGAACTACTGCAAAGATTATGACCAAACTTACGTATATGGGGCGTGAGTCGTGTTTTGTGTTTAATTTTAAGTTCGTCCGACAGATGGTGCGATATATAGCTTAATTATGTTTTACCCGATAAAAGATGGTATGCCGACGTTAAGTATTCCGACACCGACTCATACATAACCCCTTTTCGTGAAAAGCGAGTGGGAGTCAAACTTATAAAAAATAATGTCAAAATAACTTATCAAATTGAAGTAAAAATCTATTTTCTAAAAATGATGCAAAAATTTATGGTAACTCATCAATTGAGAACGGCGGAACCGATTTGACTCAAAATTTCTTTCAGTTGTCTGTAATTGAAGTGGGAATGCTTTTATAAAAGAACATTTTGAGAAAAATTCGCGAAAATCTTCCAAAACATATTTTCAATGAACGGCTGGACCGATTTGCCTATACCGACAATTTACAGAGAAGTTCCTTATCCTACATGAAATACCGAATGCATACTGAATTTGTTACTACTCTCAAAGTACATAAAATCGTACTATGCCAAAATATGAACCAAATAAAAGGAGGCTTAAAAACACACAATAATGATGAGCCAGTTTTTTACATTATAAAACCAAAACAAGTCATATATCCCACACAATATCTGAATCATTGGCTGAAACTTGAAGTATTCTAAATAGGAAATAAAGCCAGCTTAATTTTTGAAAAATGTCAATATATATACATAGGACATACAAAATGACCATTACAAATACCTTAACAATTTAGCTAGCTATAGAAGGTATTATTGGTGCTATATGCACATAAATTATATGTGCTTTTTTGGTTCCTCAAATATATTATTCATGATGTGAGAAATGTTTCCATTGAGAACGACTGCACAAATTTGACTCACATTTTCTTCGAATTAATTGCAGTGGGAAGAGTTTTACCAAAGAAAATTTTAAGAAAAAATTAAAAAGTCGGAGATTGGAGTAATTGAACACAACACAGCTTTTACAGAACTTATGAATCGTATGTGATCAAAATAGGAATAGTAAGAAAAGTGGAGGGGAAAGGAAGCATAAGGAATCCTACATAAAAATAAAATATATATCTCTCTCGAGCCCAAGAGCAATACTAGAACCACATAGAACCGTCATAGCAACAATTAAACAAAACAGCTTCAGTCTTATTCCAATGTATATCAAGACCATTGGAGGAGATCCACATAGAGAGAGATTGCAACGTTGTGTTAGCCAGATTTCCGAGATCAACATTCCTAAAGAAAACATGTATGTCATCCGCAATTACTAGCAGTAACAGAATCCATGACGTCATTAATGAACATATTAAAAAGTAATGGACCCAGCATAGAACCCTGCGGGACTCCACACCGGATTAGGCCAACATCAGATTGGACACCCTTGGGCGCAACAAACTGGGATCTACACTCCAGATACGACGAAATTAGTCTACAGACCGAAACGGAAAACCCAAATTTGACGCTAAGCTTGCGAATAAGCTGCTCGTGGTCAATAGAATCAAAGGCCTTAGACAAATCAAGACCAAAAACCATACTTAGAACTTCGCACTTCGCAGGCATTTATGATCATAAAGAAACTCCAAAATAGCATCTTTAATAATATGCTCTACTATCTTTGACATGGGCGGTAAAACACTTATTGGACGCAAGTTAGACTGGCTGTATGACGATGCTTTTTTCGGAACAGGCACAACACGAGCTGCCTTCCAAGCTTGCGGGAAGGATGTCGTCATAAAAATACAATTAACAAATTGCAAAAAGTGAACAGATATGTATGGAAAAACACTCTTAAAAATTTAATAGGAATGCCATCGAAACCTACAGCTCCAGACTTAATTTTGCGGAGAGCACTTTCAACATCCTCCATAAACACGCAGTAAAACCTAAATGACTCTTGAACAAAGGCACCATCAATTCCTAAATTCAAACCAGGATTAGATTTGCCCACATTACAAAAGTAATCATTAACAGTATTAACATCAATAAAAGGGACATTATCACCACAATCTAGACAATCAAAGGGACTTCCATAATTGACTACTGTTCATACGACCAAACAACTTTTCATAATATGTTCTTCTTTCATTACGCATCTGCAGATACAATATATACGTCTATTGTCATCAGTAGGCCTTCTGCGCCATTCAAAGTAAGCTAAATCCCGAATCGAATGAGCTGACTTCACCACATCAGAATTTAACCACTAATCATTTTTGGGGTTTACATGACGAGTAGCAAGAGGAACAAAATACAACAAACTCTGAAATAACGTCTCAAACAAGGCCAGTTGGCTGTCTACGTTGCTGGTGAGATACAGAGGAGAAAAATTAAAATTAAACACAAAATCACAAATACCCACCCAATCCGCATTGCAAAAAATCATGATACTCAATTACCTTCTCTTCAACAACTACAGGCAAATCAATCATCCCAAAGATAAGCGCATGGTGAGATATGCTAGGGCATTGGGTCTCATGCATAAAAAGTGAGCTTGAGCTCGGACTCGATTTGCTTACTTTTGTGAGCTCTTGCTTAACTTTTGTTGAGCATGCCTCTTAGTTGACTCGCGTACACTAAAAGGAATAATTATCAGTGATTGTGAACATAATTTATCACAGAAAATGATTTTGGAAAAATATTCCATGAATATTTTGTGTTGAAACTTGACAATAACCCCCAAACATAAACCAAAACATGTCAACGATTGGTTGCGGGAGTTAAAATCCGGATTTTATGATGGCCAACACAATCATCAGATCTTCACCCTATAGAAAAATCTTTGGATCATCATCGATAGCAAAATTCAAAGGGATTCATTAACAAACAAACGTATTTTTTTGGATCGTATAGGTTCAATGTCTTGTAGGTGTAATCAATAATAACGGTTTTGCTGTCGATTACTAGCTAAATTTGCTTATTTATAAAAAAAGAAAAAAATCAAAATCGGGTCAATGTAGTTTTCAATAGAATTTATTTTTATTTCGAAATAAATGTCACGTTTATATTCTTAAAAAAACTTTCTCTATAACTTTATTTAAAAAAAGTTACGGGTCATTTCATTCAATTTGCAATTTCAGTTGCTTTAGTTTTGGCCACCAGTGTGTATATATATTTTCTTTGACACTTGGTAACTGACTTTTTCAAAGCAAATATTTATTTTCTTTAATTTTTGTTGTACTAAAAATGCAGATATATAGTCAGTTTCTATTTTATTATTAGTATTTACTACTACTTCTAATTCACTTCCACTTGACGACATGTTTGCATTTTAATAACAAATAGATGTTTGATCTCAATTTGCTCAAGTATTTGCAATTGGTTTGAACTCATTTTTATGCATACGAAATTGAGCAAAAGCAGTTTCTGTTCGATCTAACTCAACTTACGAGCAATTGCTTACTTGACTCAACTCATCGCTTTTGCTCGTTTTTATGCACGAGACCCATTGTCCCTGCGAGGAAAAGCTCAGCCGCATGGGATCACGGATCAAACAATAGTCAATCAGCGAGGTAGAACTATGAGCAAGATCAAAGTGCGTAGGCTTGGAATTGTGGACAATAGAAAGCCCAAGAGACCTACATATGCCCCGCATCTATGTAGATTTCGAAGATTTAAATATGTTACAATTAAAATCACCACAGACAAACAAATTTCCATATGAGTCAAAAATACCCTCATGAATGCTATGAAATCAATCCACATCTCCATGCGGCAGGTATACAACGGCAACAAGCAACGTAAATGCACCGAAACACAGCTCGACGCACAAAGATTCGCATACACCATAATGGTTCGATTTAAAAAGCACCTTATATGACAATTTGTCACATACATACAACATAACACCGCCACCTACACGGTCAATACGGTCACTACGCAGAGCCTTATAGCCAGGAATTCTCAATGACCTCGACGAGACAGCAGAGTTAAGCCAAGACTCAGTCACACCAAAAAAATCAATTCCACTGCCAACAAGTAGAAACTTTATCTCATCCATTTTGTTATTGAATCTAGACGGACGAATGCTCTGACAGTTCCAATGGGCATACGTAAGCTTTCCATCACCGCAATGAATGTTCTGCCTAAAGAATTGAGCACCGCTAAT